GGTTGTGTTGTGTTGTGGTGTGTTGAGTTGAGTTGAGTTGAGTTGTGTTGTGTTGTGTTGTGTTGTGTGTTGTGTTGTGTGTTGTGTTGTGTTGTGTTGTGTTGTGTTGTGTTGTGTTGTGTTGTGTTGTGTTGTGTGTTGTGTTGTGTTGTGTTGTGTTGTGTTGTGTTGTGTGTTGTGTTGTGTTGTGTTGTGTTGTGTGTTGTGTTGTGTTGTGTTGTGTTGTGTGTTGTGAGTTGTGTGTACTGGTGTTGGTGTTGGTGTTGGTGTTGGTGTTGGTGTTGGTGTTGGTGCTAGTGTTATGTTGTGGTGTGTTTGGTTGGGTTGCGTTGCGTTGCGTTGCATCGCGTTGGGTTGGGTTGGGTTGTGTTGTATTGTGGTGCGGCGTGTTGTGGTGTGGTGTGTTGTGTTGTGTTGCGTTGCGTTGTGTTGCGTTGCATTGCGTTGTGTTATGCTGTGTTGTGGGTGTGTTGTGTTGTGTGGGTGTGTGTGTGTGTGTTGCGTTGGTGTGTTGCGTTGGTGTGTGTGTGTGTGTGTGTGTGGGTGTGTGTGTGTGTGTGTGGGTGGTGTTGGTGTTGGTGTTGGTGTTGGCGTTGCTGTTGCTGTTGCTGTTGCCGTTACTGTTGCTGTTGGTGTGTGTCGTGTTGGTGTGTGTTGTGTTGGTGTGTGTTGTGTTGGTGTGGGTTGTGTTGGTGTGTGTTGTGTTGGTGTGTGTTGTGTTGGTGTGTGTGTGTGTGTGTTGTGTTGGTGTATGTTGTGTTTGTGTACTGTGTTGATGTGTGTTGTGTTTGTGTGTGTTGTGCTGGCGTGTGTGTGTGTGTGTGTGTGTGTGTGTGTGTGGGTGCGTGTGTCTGCGTCTGCGTCTGCGTCTGCGTCTGCGTCTGCGTCTGCGTCTGCGTCTGCGTCTGCGTCTGCGTCTGTGTCTGTGTCTTTGTCTGTGTCTGCGTGCGTCTGTGCGTCTGTGCGTCCGTGCGTCTGTGCGTCTGTGCGTGCTTGCGTGCGCGGGTGTCTCTGTCTGTGCGTCTCTGCATCCGCATCTGTGCATCCGTGCATCTGCGCATCTGCGCATCTGCACATCTGTGCATCTGCGCATCTGCACATCTGTGCATCTGTGCATCTGTGCATCTGTTCTGTGTGTGTGTGTGTGTGACGCAGGCGTGCGTGGCCCCGTGCATGTGGTTCTCTCTGTGTGTGTGTGTGTGTGTGTGTGTGTGTGTGTGTGTGTGTGTGTGGGTGTGTGGGTGTGTGGGTGTGTGGGTGTGTGGGTGTGTGTGTGTGTGGGTGTGTGGGTGTGTGGGTGTGTGGGTGTGTGTGTGTGTGTGTGTGTGTGCTTGTGTGCTTCGAGCACTTCCATACCCCTAATTTTCACCTGGAATCATAAGGATCTAGTGGTGTAGGGACTGCCTGACGAGGGAAAGCCAGAAGCAAGCTTGACTTACGATCTTACACAAACATGCCGGAGGCGTGCTTGAGCATCCAACAGATTAATTCCAACAGCTTTGTTGTGACGCGTCTCATGAGCGTGTTGCCTGAGGCACCGGCTCAAACCTCTCTCAATCCACTTGAGGCCAAGCTGCTCGAAGCTTCGTGGGCTTCTCACCTGAGAAAACTGAACTGCAAGCTGTAAGAAGGCCAAGAAGTCAGGAAGCCGTGAGCCAGGCAGAAGTGACTAGGAAAGTCTCTGATGCATATTGTTATGATGAATGCCAATGTGTCTCAAGCAGCTAAAAGGCTCAGGCGTCCTTTACGGGTGAACGAGCCTAGACTCACTGGAGAACCATGATTGGAAAAGCCATGTCTTCCTGCCTTCAGCTGGTGGCGCGTCCTTTAACTCCTGGATGAAGGAGACAAACTCGTCCATCGCCTTAGTACGTAGCATGCTGCTCGCCCAAGCAGTGCTTGCGGGCGCCGTGGCTGTCCGAAGGTTGTTGCTGGGACCCTTGGATAACTTTCTGCACTGCCATGGTGGCACTTGAATGGCACAAAGCACAATTTGAGTGCGGCAAGTCTACGCGAGCTAGCATTCAAAAACCCTTCAGGATTGAGACAGACTCAAGTTGGATCAAGTCTTGATGAGACTTGCCCGCGTAGCAGCGCTGCACGGGATCTATCCCGACAATCTACATGGGAAAGCTTCGGTCAATTTAAATGGAATGGCGAACGTACGGTTTCGGAGATCAGGGACGCACCTGCAAGCTCTTGAACACAGCAAGCACGCTCTCCCAGCCACACTGAACCACGCTGCCTCGGACGCTGTGGCTGGACCACCCATCACCTTCTTTGTGATGACTTGTGCCTGCCAGCTGTGCAAACCAAAAAAGATCAAAAGATCAAGAATCAGGCTCCATGCGCTCTTTCTCCCTCTAAGAATTCGCAGACACTCCACATCTCACCTGGCTCATGAAACGAAAGAACCCCAAGAGTTCACCTGTCCAATCCTGTTCACCTATCAATGTTTGACCTCATCATGTCCGAATCGCTGGCCATCAGCTGCAACAGCCACTTGTTTCCAAAAAATCTTACGGCTCCTTTACAGCTCTTCCTGTTCTCGTGAAGTGCTGAAACTTGCTGACATACTTGCCAGAACTCACTGAACCAATAGATTCGCGCCAGAAATCTCAACAAAGCATCCACCCTGCCTCCTTTGAGCCATGGAATAGCCACTTCACAAACTCTGTGTACGAAACACGATCATCGCAGTTGGTGTCCTTATGAATCAAGGCCAAAGCTTGCATCATGAGAGTCTGCATGTCTCTGTGTCCGTGTGTGTGTGTGTGTCTCTGATCCTGAACCGGAACCAGTGAAAAACATGGTGCCCTGCCTGCCCTGAAAAACTGAAAGTGCAGAGTTGCGATCTACCTGGGATTAAGATTTGTAAGCCTTTCCGTTTTCAAAAGGTCACTTGACACGATACTGCAGGAGAAACCAGGACGAATTGCATTGTTGCACTCACGCCGGCACTACAACTCCTCACGCAGCATCACGCAATCGGACGTCTCACTGCTGCCGAAGACACCATGATCTTGTAGATCGTGGTCACCTTGTCATGATGCAGATGCCCGCGGATGCACAGTGTCTTGCAGAGTGTGTCTGAAGTGGCGCTATGCCCGCTGTCTGTGGATGTCGCGCAGCTGATACCAGTTCAGAAACCGTCGGTACCAAGTACAGTTTCGCAAGCTATGCCTCTACGACCATATCTTGAACTGTCCTACCAGTACTAAAGGTCCATATGCAAACTCACAGCGATCCGCCACGTGCGACAATTTGCGACAGAGCGGCGTCTGCACTCTTGAGGCCAATAGCACAGAGTGCGCGCCGCAGCTCGTCGGTGCTCAGGGTCCCTTTGCTACACACAGACATCATGGATCATGCCTTGGAACTTTGGTCATGTGAAGATATGGGAATGCGACGGAGTGAGACAACCGGCAAGCTTCCACCAACTGGCCGCAACATGCCGCCACGACATTCGGGATGCCGAGTTTGCGATTGAGTCTGCAAATGTCTGCAATATTTATCGATGCCACTCCCATCCTCCCATCTCAGCTCAGGGCCATCACAGTTCGAGTCGATTCGGTTGAACAAGGCCTGCAGGCTGTCCTGTCGGCACAGCTCATATTAATGCGAAGTCCCCTAATTTGCAAATTGCAGTACATGTGCAATGCACGGGCAAAAGAATGGCCTTCTGCGCCCATTCTTCGATGGAGCCAGCACTCATCGTACACCTTAACAGGCCAAGCGCTGATCCGCTGCTGTTCCGCGTCGCTAAGCTGTGGCAGAAGTTGTAGCAAAGCTGTAGGGTGTAGACTGCAGCAGCTGCATGTGATAATCACTCTGGCTCGCTTTGGCTCGCTGCAGCTTTTGCACAGCCAAGGTACCGTTGAAAGCAACAGAGTCCACTTTGGAGCGCGCGCACCCGCGCAGCCGTGAGCGCTCGGATTCTGGAGCCGCACGTGTCAGCACAACGCGCAACACGAGGCACAGCCAAGCACGGCACTAAGGGCAACAACTCTCAACCAGCGGTCGTTTTTGCACAGTGTGAAGGACCAGCAGCTTTAACTCAGGCTACAGAATCTGCGGGCAATTAGGAGCAGGGATTGTTAGCTGCTGGCCGGTGCATAGGGCCCCAATTCCATGGGGCGTTCTTCGGGGTTTTCAGCCTGTTGAAGGTTTTTCAGGTGTTGCTCAACTGGGTGAGAGGAGTGGGGGCGGCGGGGGAGGGGGGTGATAAGAACGTCATTCATATTGCGTCCATGCCCACAACACTGGTGTTAACAGCGTTGTCGCCTCTTTGTACAACAACCTGCGCAAGGATGTGGAAAAAGACACGTTGTCACAAGCGCCCATGCCTTTCGCGACCATGCCAGAAACACTGGTGTACAGAGCGTTGTCGCCTCTTTGTGCAACATACTGCACACGGATTCGCGACCATGCCCAAAACACTGGTATTTACAGCGCTTTTGTTTCTTTACGGGTTGCGAGTTGCGGACCTGACCTTTAAGGGCTTAGACTCCGAGTTAACACATGTTGTCACACTCACTTGCAGAAAGCGAAACACAATGTAACAAAGAGTGAAATCTTCTTCATAATGCTTTTCCTCCAAATCGCTAGGTTTCGTGCCGTTTTGGGTTGAGGGATCAAGTTGTTGGGCGTTCTTCAGGGCACCTCGGTTCGCACTTCGCGCGAGATCGAGTGTGGTGTGAATATGTATCCTACTGGAGCCGTACGAGTGGCCCTCCACACAAGAGTCCTTTTTCGTCTCGCGTGCTGCGTGGGTAACAGCAGCAAGAAAAACAGCGGGAGATGCAGATCTGCCCAAGCAGCTAATTTGTGACATAGTGTGCCTGAATTCGTCTAAGGGTACAATCACAACATGGACCGCCAGAAATTCCACCTAGGCCATCGGGTTCAAACCCAAAAGGTCTTCCCTAGGCTTCAAGGTGGCGTCATCTCTGGGCACCCGTAAGCTCGGAGGCACACTTCAGCTTGGGCCCAAGGCATTTCTAGAGCCTGGGCCGGAGTTGAACGCTGAAGGCCTCACCTGCAGTGGCTCAAGTCAAGTCGACGTGTCAAGGCATATTTTGGCGGACATCTGACATGTTCTTGATCTTGCCAAAATCAGAGCTTTCACAGGACCTGGGACTGGAGGCGCCTTCTACTTCTTCTGTCCTTGCAGATTTGCTTTCGGACTGGCATCATGGGACGACCGGTACGACGTTCTTCCCGGAGACTTACACCCACCAACAAATTTTCCAAAATCCGAAGCCATACTAGCAATCCATATATGACATATACGCATCCACAGTGAGTCCTTGTAGAAACGGCCTCATTTTGCACAGAACTTGCGCGAAGCCTTTCGCGATGATTTACTTAACAGAAGTGCCCAACCCGAGCTGAAGCTGCAGCCGAGGGGACATCCGTGATCACTTGGCCAATCTCCAGTAACGTCGCAGCTGCGATGGCTATCGATAATCGCCCCTACAGGAGATCGTGCGCGTGCGAAATGCAGGGCTCTCGTTGCACGTGCACTGCGCTCTCTCAACAGTGAAAGGCTTGAAAGGTTTCGGTCAAACCGTCCGAATGAGGGCCGAGGGTCTTCTTGACAGCGGATCAGACACGAGGGCTGCCTGGAACTCCTGCAGAAGTCAGCCACTTAGCAAGCATGCAAACCCTACTGCCGCTGGCACTAGCAGACTGGCCGTAGCAGTCCATCTACGGCTTCATGACAACATGTGGTCGTGTGCTTGCCTTTGATTGATTTTCACTGAAGTCCTTTGTCCGCTCTCGCACCCAGATGTAGTCGATTTTTCCTGGCATCTGGACTTAAGGGCTTTTAAGCTCAGCGTGTCATAAGCAAAGCCGTCTGGTCCTAGTCAAGATACATGCGAGTAGAAGGGGCGCATCAGCATCAGGGGCTTGCGTGCTGCGAACATGCATGAACATGCATGACTCTACGCTGCTGACACTGACAGGTGCCATGTTGGCCAGGAAGATTGTGCTAAACGCTGAACCTGTCAACTGTCAACACGATACTGCTAATTCGCCCCAAAAGCAGCAGCCTTTGCCCGACGACTGGCCCTCCTCCTGCAAGGACATCTGTGAAAACATGCCAGGTGACTGAAGCAGTTACAAACATTAGCATGACACTGTCAGGGTTGATATCTCTCTTCGGATATCGTATCAATGCAGCAGAAGCCCGCGCTGCGATACCTCTACTTGCACCGTGCGTACTTTGCGTGGCACTGCACACAACCTCACAAACAAAGTGCACGCATGTCACGCCACATCTTGAAATGTTCGAAGCACAACCGATTCCCGCTGCGCCTGCTTGTTCGGGGGGCGTGAGACTTGAGGCAAGTCAAGGGCGCGCGAGAGCGTGAAGTAATGCCTCTGTCTGGGAACTTGCTTGAAGGTGACATGAGTCAACTTTGAAACTACTGTGTCTGTGCCGATTCCATTGCCAGCTAGAGCGGCGAACCGCTCGGCATCCGCTCCTCCCACATTGACCCTGCCACGTATATACAGCCTTCTCCTAGAGTCCTAGAGCTTCTACATACACCTCGGTGGGTTCGAGATGGCATCTACCCCGTGTCGCTCGATGCAGGAGAGGGGCCAAAGATAGAAAGCTTCCTAGCCATGCTGCAACCATATCAGCCATGTCTCAATCCGAACCAGCAATCGTGTGACATACCCCTGCTCCTGAGTTGCAGACCGCCGATCATCTTGCGCAAACGGACATCTAATGATGCCTGCAAGATGGCCAAGACACTACAACGTGAGGGCGCTACTCGGGTGCGCAGCCGGGCCAGTCAGCAATCCTCCCTCGCTCTTTAACCCGCAATCATGTATGAAATTCTAGAATAGAATCAACTGGCACCACTACAGCATGCCTTCCCGACCCAGGCTAAATCTGTGGTGGGTCACCGCATATACCTTCCCAACCCTACATTTTGTTGGCCGCTCTGTGTAGATCCCCAAGGTCACGGTATCGGGCGGCGACTTTACACAACTCGTCTCGACTTAACCCCGGTACTCAGGGTAGTCATAGTCAATTCTAATCAAGCCCTTTCTGTTAACAAGCTGTTGAAGAAGCATATTCTGTCTTACAAGCAGTATTCATCGGATGGCCCATCTTTCAAAGGTAGCGGACTCATTGAGGCATCAGAATTGCAGAGATGCAGAGATGCAGAGATGCAGAGATGCACACTGAACCCAAAGAAGTGGCCTATCCTTCGGTCCATGCTAAGATCATCTCGTGGAGGATGTGGAGGGTTGTTTAGGTGAGGTCCGTAGTCAAGGACACACGTTGTATCTCACGCCTCGGCTGAGTCCCAAAATAGATGCGCTGCTGAAAGATGACCTTGACTCGGCAACCCAGTCCTGAAGACTATGCTTCAACAGACCTGCCTTCACTTCGTCCCTGTTCCGCAAAGTCTTCGTTGAAATCTGCCTTCAGCAGTGCATGTGAATATCGGCGTCCGCCGGATCCACACAAAACAGCGAATAGCTGCTACGAAGTCTGTGCCGGATGGTATCTGTGCACATGCGCAACCCGCTTACACTTTGCGCCAGTACCTACGAAGGTCCATATGCGGGGCTTTGCTGTTCGCTATGGATACCGACGTCGGCCAACAACAATGCACAGGGCCCGCACGGTCAGGATCTCCACATCTGCAGAACTCTCCTGGCGAAAGACTTCAGCTGAAGCACATGGGGATGTCGAGAGCTGTAGGTTACAGGCTGTGCGCTCAAACCCGAACGATTTAAACTTCCTTCATCAACAACATAGAAGACTGGCACAGGTTCGCAGAATCTTCTGCAGGCCCTGTGCCGGCAATCAAGGCCTAGATGCCTTCCTTCCAAGTGCTGAGCAGCTTCCACTTTCCCTCCCTGAACCAAATTGCCATATTCTGATGACATCCTGCACAACCGCCCAACTCTCAGCCATATGCGGCGAGAACACTCAGACACTTCCCCCAGCCGCTCTAGCCTTGGGGGGCTTACAGTCATATGGTCATGCAGAATTATTCTCCTCAACCGTCCGGGAGGCCATTGAAAAGCAATCATGTCAATGGACGCAAAAGTTGACATTTCCACAAATATATTAACCCCCTTGCAACCAATAGCGCCCTCACGCTTGGCACCCAAAAGAACTCAATAACCTGGAATCTTTCCCGAACATCCTTGGTATCACGTCAACCACTGTGGATCCCTTCAGATCCCCTCAGTCCGCAGAGGCGAAGTCAGCGAAGGCTTGGAGTTGCGCAGGACGGCCGCCTTTTGGTGCTCAAAGGGAAAGGCCAAATACGAATCCTTCTTTTCCTATAGGGTTTGGGGTTTCGCGACGATTTTTGCTGTCCTGTCCCGTTGGGGATGGTTGTTTAGGTTGGGCGTCTTGACATTGCCGCAGATTGGAGAAGTACGCGGTTCTGGGTAGAAGGCCATGGTATCATGAGAGTTCCTCATCCAGCCTGGTGAAGAAAGCGAAGGCTTTCAGACATACTAGAGGATGGGCTGGATGGGATTGAATGGGCATGCTGCTCAGAGACAGGCTGCACTACGCTTCAAGGTGCCGAGCCTTTCATGTGGCCATTGACCACGCGAACCTTCGCCCCACAAGGGTGCTCCAGGTCCACTCCTGTGCCACACAACTGCTAGGGGCAACAAGAGCCTCCATCCTGTCCGTTTCTGTACAACCCCTCACCCCCCCGGCCCTGCAGGACCTGCCCAAAAAGGCCACGCCGCGCAGGTCAGACTTTTCTGGGACCCCTGGGACCTTCCTGGGACCCTCCATGATTCTGGGCCTGCCGAGGCGGCGCGCGCAAGCGTTTGCAAGTGTGAGCATTCTTCCTGCAAAGGGCTATCGAAGAGTCGAAGAAAGCACGACAAGGCTTTGGTGACAGAGTGCCCCGGCTGCCTCCAACTGCGAAGCCTCTCAGCGGGAACGTTTCATATCGCTCAAGGGCTCGGGAACATTTATCTCTCAGATCTTCCTTTGGGAACCCAAAGCTGTAGCTTGAGGGCCTGCGCAATGCAGGACTATGTCCTGTGCAACGTTTGTGAATTTAGGGGCTACTACGGCTACCAATCAAGGAAAAAAGGAATGCGATGGCTCGCGCCTTGATACTCGCCCACCTTCCACTGAGCCTCTTTGAAGGTGCTTCTTTTCACAGCAATCAGCAAACCTCGTTCGACCATCGCAAGTGGCTGGATTTCGGAAGGGTACGACAGTACAACAATCAGATGCAGTCAGAAGACGTGACAACCCCCAAAGCCACAAACAAGCCAACTCCTTCCATTGAGGGCGAGGAGTGCATCACGCACTTGAGTGACTTGGCTTGGTTTCAGCAAGGCAAAGCTGATTGGCACCGCCTGGAGTTGTAGCACACTTCGGTTCGCGCTTTGGAACTTATGAAGGAGCCGAGGCCCTGAGCTTTAAACGCGAGCCCGCCGAGCCCGGCGAGCCCTAGACCGAAGAGAGGCGCATGTTACGCAATGACATGCTCGACAGCTTGCCTCTCCATCTTCTCCAAACAGACCATCCGGGCAATAAAAATCATTTCACTTCGAACCTCCCCACCCTCTCTTGGTAGAGATACTCTGGGTTTCGACACTCCAGGGACACTCTGGGCACTTTGGGGACATTGTGGGTTCAGGGAGCGTGGAAGGGACACTCTGGATTTGGGCATTCCAGGCAGATTCTGGGGCTGGGCACTCCGGGACACTCTGGGGTTGGGCAGGTTGGGCACTCTAGGGAGACTCTGGGGCTGGGCACTCCGGCGGGCTCCTGCAGAATGTCCAGAACCACGGTACCGCCACCGCATCCATACAATCTGCGGCAACCCCTGCAATATCCGAGTTCAACGCCCTAAGCCCCTCCAGTAAACCTTCTTCCGCAGCCCAGCCCGACGGTCACAAAGTCCCGTCAGCGAATGGCATGCGAACTGAAACGGACACAATGCACACACTCAGTGGGACCGAGACTGCCTCATACATGCCAGGAAATTAGAATTTGAAGAGCAGAAAAGAACAGTTGCAACACTTCCCACGTGTTGTCATTTGCTAACCAGCTGCCATCCGGCGGTCTCCGCGCATGCTTGAAGTAGTTCGCCTGATATTCACTTCCCAAGTCCTCAAGTGCTTCGGCTTGTGCGACACAATTCTCCGCGTCAAATCTGAGATTGCGTAGGTTGCTCAGAGGTCTTCTGGGAAGAGACAGACGTATAGAGTCAAAGGCGTTTCGGTGGTTCAGTCGTTTTGTGTCAGACAGAGCTGCAAGCGCTCTTTGCCAGGCACTGGACTTCGACAAGCAGCGACCATACTTTCCGCGCATACTGATCCTACTGTCTATACAACCTCAATATACCCTCATCCACTCTTATCCCAATGCTTCTGAGCTGCCGCGACAATCCTGTTGGCTCAGACAAAGAAGGCAGCGAGACCAAGGCTGTAGCCCATGTAAGGTTATCCCTTGTATTTCAAAGACGCACACTCACAAATCGTTGCCTGATCTTGGGTGCTACAATAGTAGAACAGTACAACAAAGCAGACCCTCAACGACACTGAATTTGGAGAAGGCACGACTCCAACTCGGTGACTTCTACTTCTTGCAGGCAGAGGACCTCAGGTAAATCACGCGACCTAAAAAAAGCCCGTTGTGCCTGCAAGCAAGTTTCTGTGTGAGGTACTGCTCCTGGCCTAGCCTAGAATAAGTAGGCAGCCAGGATGCGTCAAACCGTCCCTGCTGCAGGATGTCCTCAGTAAGCTCATTTAGGAGCACTCTAAGCGGACATCGGTTTGTCTGCACAAGGGGATGCCGGATCTGCAAATGACCGCCTCACGTGCTCCCCTGTTTGTGCGAACTGTTTGATGACGAGATGGATGCTGCTGGGCGGGTTCCGCAATCACAACACCGACAGTCACCAGACGTCACGAGGATCGAGCGTATCCATGTGGCAGCTGTGGCTCTCGACATCTGATATCGCTTCGATCTTTCAGCAGCATGTTGACATCCACCTGACATTTGGACAGCCGGCCACCATCCGAGGCTCCAAACACCGGGACAGTCACGAGCATTGCGCATGCTCTTTTCTCCCGTGGGATGAATGGTCATAGCGAAGGGATGGAACTTCCGGGCTGCGACTGCAGACTTGCGAGGATCGTCCTGCTTCAGCCGAACTCGGACTCTTTGCAGTGAGTCGCTGGGCTGTGGGGTGCTCCAGCGTTGTTCATCCAATTCGCAAGGCGTCGTGGTGCCAGCGCCTACAAAAAAATCATGTCATTGTCCTTAGTGGGACTGACTCAATCCAAGTTCAACTCCCAGCCAGAATCCGAATGGCTGTAGCATAACGCCTTAACACAAATCACCACGAAACATTGGCAAGCATCCCGCATCACAGGCCAGCGAGCCGACCTGCCAACGTGCGGGAGGCAGGTGGGAGGGGAGGGAGGGGGAGGGGAGGAGGGCAGGGGGAGGGAGGAAAAGAAAACGGCCGAAATCAGAATCTGTCACAGGTTCCGCGAGCAGATCCTTTCGCGTCCCAATCAGTATACACCAAGCACCGAACCAATTCGAGGTGCCATCTGTGCCAAGGCCCTGCTGCTCCTGAGAATGTATACCGAGCGACGATGGATACAATGGACTACTTGCACTGTCGATGCACTTGCGGGCGTGTCGTCGCGAAGATCCCACTGCCACTTTAGTGGTAGAATTTCACAAGTGCTGAACTGTCCGGAATAAAACGAAACCATACGATAAATTGTTCACTTGGCAGATTTCACCCTCACACCGTCCCGCTTGAATCAAGCGTGCACGTGGGCATGTGCATGCTACACAAATGCGCTGTCCTTCCATTTGACAGCGTAGGTTGGGCAAAGCCTTAGTGGACAGAATGTGATGAGACGACCAATGGACTGTTGGGATCGAGTCGGATTGAGTGCAGGATCTGGCCCAGGAGGTGTGAGAATCTCTCTCAGACTCAGACCGTGTGGGAATGAGGACATGAGTGAGGCAACACACTACAGGTATGTGCACGTGCACACTCACCAACTTTTTCTCGGGCCCGAGCAAATTGTATGTACCTGTCTGGAGTGAAAAGAACCAACGTCGTCTTCCACACTCGAAGCTACGGATGCTTCACAAACAGCGGAATCGACATTCTACATACTTTCGAGTGCCTTCCGAAATCTCCAAAGTAATTGCGATGGCTTCTCGTTATCTTCTCATCTTCTCATTGTTGCAAGCAGTCCATGCCCTCTCAACACACAAATCGGGTTACAAACTGAAAACGTCGGAGACGACGGCTGGCACCGCGTCCTGGGCCTCCACAGGGCTATCACTTGTGCAACCTCTGTCCGCTCTTCATTCGCTTGAAACTGGCATGGCAAATACGCATCCTTGCTTTGGTGTAAGCGGATCAAGCCGAGGCAGCTCTGTGAAATCGCGATGACGCACGACTGTAGAACGAGCACACATACCCGCAGAACGACATGCAAACCGTGTCGGATCGTGCCAATGCCTGGTAGACAGCCAGCAGCCATAACCGGCCAAACACAAGGGGACTGCCTTGCCTCCCGCAAGGGAGACATGAGCTGACTTGCGTTGACTGGTGCGGTTTGCAATACACCGGTACGGAAAACACGCTGTCAACAAAGAAGGACGTACTTGCCGTGGTTGTCACACAACCTGGACTGCCCTCCTTCGTGCTACTTCTCCACACTGCGATAGGGATGGGTCAGGCAGTACACAGAGCCAGCAAACGTTGCGTTCAAAATTGGCATGGTTGTACTTATCATAGGGCTTAGTATGGATTTGTTAACTGCCACAGCTCTCGAAATCTGAGCAGGCAGACTGGCGCGGCGAGCCCACATGGCCAGCAGCCTCATGTCATCATATCTATGGGATTGGAAGACGCCGACGGGATTGGAAGACGCCGGCACAACTACCTATATCTGCGCGAAGCCTACACTGGCCTACACACGGTGCTGCATTGGCATCACAGCATCTCAGCTTAGGTTCCCACCGATGCGGCCACTCAGCCTCGGCCTTTGATCCCTTTTGATGCTGCAAAGAAGGCACGGCCGGCAGCACAAATATTTCAATTGTTTTCGCCCTCTTCTTCCGACATAGACCAAAATACTGGCGACAACGGAAGTCGAAACCACCCCTTCCAAACATGTCTAAGCCCCAATGAACGCACCGGTTCAAGCGAAGGCGAATAAAGCACTACCAAATCAGAATTCCCCAGTGAACGCTGTGGGCGGAATGTCTTGTTGGACAGCACCAAAGCATGAGTAAATCTCAGTTTTGCGAAGCAACGCTAGGGTCAACCTGGCCCTGGCAAACCAACTGAAATCTAGTATGTATGTTGGATTGCCCAATGAACGCATGGGCCAATCAAATCTGCGACGCCCCTGGCTAACCGAGCACACCGAAATGCACGCACCGAACGTTCATCTTGGCTGGCCGAGCACGCCGAAATGCATGCACCGAACAGTCATCATCGAAGCCCCAGGCTGACCGAAGGCACCGAGATGCACGTACAGAGCATTCATCGTCCAAGCCCCTGGCTATAACCGAGCGCACCGAGATGCACGCACCGAGCGTTCATCTTCGAAGGCCCGGGGTGGTTGAGAGCATAACGAGATGCACGTACTGAGGTTTTCGGGGCAGGTTGACCGATACCTGTTCCTCATGTGACCGATACCCCGGCCGAGTCAAGTCAAGCCTGACGGCCCGAGAGCCGCCCTGTTCGGACGCAGGCGAAAAAACAACAACAAGGCGCAAACCGAACAGGCTGCAAGCGTCTGCAAGTGAAGGAAACCGTGGCATCAACGACACCTCTCAACGATGCCTGAACGATCAGAGCTGGGCAGGGTCGTTTTAACGTAAGGCGCGCGTAAGGCGCGCGTAAGCTGCGCGTAAGCATCAACGGTCTCCGCAAACCAATCAATCCACGCAGAGCCACATTGTCATATTTGCGCAGTGTGCCGGCCCAACGCGTTCTCCCACATTTTACAGGATAGATGAGCCCGTTGTGCTGTGATTGAAGATTCGTTTGACCCCCACGTGCGTCCTGTGTTAAGACTTTGCTCGACTCACAGGTTCTCCCAGCGCGTTCTCCTGCATTTGTCAGGATGGCTATTTCCTTGGTGCTATGACTAAAGACTCTGAGGGGCCCAGCCCCAGAGCGTTCTCCCGTGGTCACCATGATAGCTGAGTCGCCCGTCTATACATTGGGACTCTGTATAGCATTCTGCCCGACCCAGCGCGTTCTCCCGCGATTGTCAGGATACCTTGTGCTATGATTGAAGATTCTGCTTGACCCAGCACATTCTCCCGCGTTTGTCATGTTGGCTGAATCGCCCATGCTATACGTTAAGACTTCGCTCGATCCAGCGAATTCTCTCGCGTTTCTCATGATACCTGCGTCACTTGTGCCATGTTTGCGCAGTGCCCTACATTGCACATCCGTTTCCCCCATTGAACGCCGAACGGTCACGACTTCCATGCTTTTTCTCCCCTAATGATTTGCTTGAAAAACAATGCCCGGTTTAGACTTCCACAGTTCACAGTAATATACTCACACATGCATATATAAAGACAAAAACGACATACATGTTGAACTGTGCACCTATACATCTGCGCCTGCAGGCTGACAGAAAGACAGACTGTTGTTACATATGCAAAGATAATAGCGTCATAACCCTCACAAACATACTGCCAGTGCAAATTACAAGCAAAAAGAAAGCGTGCTCACTCCCTCAACATCCCCATGGCCTTGGCCCATTTCCAGAGAAGCTCCAGGCATGATGCAGGAACTGCTGGAACAGTTTGACGATCGTCACCAAGTAGTGCCCCACACCCGGCCAACGGTGCGCGTGTCAATTGCTCTGCTAACTGTCATCATGCGGCTCCATGTGGCAACCGCTCCCCAGCAGACGCGATAGCCCATTGCCCTGCTGTCATATGCCGGCATACAGCACCCTTTGCAGTAGCTCTAAACCCTAAGCCCCAAGCCCTAAACCCTAAAATCCACCAGTCGACGTGTGTGGCACTGCGTCGAAAAAACTCAGCCACAACCCAAACTCCCTGTCAGTCGAGGTATGCTGGTGCACCTTGACAATCACCTCCGACACCATCTCGCTCTCATCAACTGCATGCAACCATGGCCTGCCGAGGCTTGGCATGGCCTGCACAGTGTAGCCACGGGCAGCGGCTGCCCTGTAGCCAAAGACCACAGGCAGCAAAAACCCTGGACAGGAACCCGCCTAAACCCTAAACCCTAAACCCTAAACCCTCGACGCAGCGAATGCACTGCTCTGCACTGCTCGCCGCTTCAAGCTGCCCAGCTGCTTGTCTGGTACAGGGGCACCATCGTGTCCGACCAGCCAGAGGCATCAGGCAAGCGCCCCCTCTTCTCTTGCACCTTGGCGCAACTGCTTCATTGCCCCAGCAAGCACATTAGCCCATCGTCCAGCTGTCATACGCCTCACTTGCCTCACAGATTGGACAGACTGGAGATGGTATCTCCAACTGCCATCATCCCAAGTCTCTGAACTCTAAACCCACTTGACGACTTGCCGACGTGTCTGTCAGGCCAAGTCGTGACACCTCGCTCGAAGTTCCAAAATCCAAGCAAAGTGAAGATTCGTCCTCCTCATCGTAGGCCTGCAGAGCTTCGCAAAACTTTGAGGATGGTTGAAAGGCGTGTCACTCCGAAAGTCACCAAGGCCCACGGCCGTCTCGGCGATTGATGGAACATGAAGGAACCTATTTCCCCTCCCCTGCCAGGTCCTCCCAGCATGCACATCGGCATTGTGGCCTTTGGCCTTTGGAGGGTGCGGCCGCGTTCTGTTTTCAGCACTTCAAGGGGCGGCTCGTCGGCCTTACCAGCTCGGACACAACTCTTTTGCCAGCATGAAAGATCTGGAGCCTGTCAGTGGTCTAGGGGCCAGTTGTAGCAGATGGTCCAGGTTCCAACTTCGAGCGAAATCTCCAGCAGCTGATACGAAACACTTAGAGCTTATAAGTCATGGTCCATACGGCCCATCTGCCAGTCTGTGAAATGATATAAGGGGCAATACAGCCCTCAGCAGCAAGCCGGTCTAAGCCGGTCCGGCCTTCGGGTTACAATGATCTTTTCTGTTTCTCTTTTTTGTTTCTGCAAATCTGACGAATGTAGTCAGAGTTGCTCACTTCTCGAACTTGTCGCACTTCTCGCTCTTCTTGTGCTTTTCGCACTCACACTTCTCGCACAGAGAGGTTGGGCTGCAGCATTCTGTGTTGGCCTGGCTGCAGAGTCAGTTGGCACAACGGTTGAGATGGAAACGGAAACGCCCGCATTCACAATCCAACAGCCCAAGCTTGGAAACGCAAAGTCTCGGTCCTGTACCAAACCTAACAGACCAGATGTTCCTCCACATGGTTGGAGTTGCTTTGGGATTGAATTGCAAAAGCTTAAATGGGTTTATGAGATGTTCTCTGAGAGCAACCCCTGGGGCTGAAGATGTCTGCCGCAGAGGCACCATTGGAGATTGCAGGAGCTCCCCCGCTTCTCCATGGCTGTGGAGCGCGGCCGAGCCGACGATTGAGATGATGAAGACCTCGATACGGCGAGCCGATACGGCGAGCCTATGCTGCACTTTTGGGCTCTGGATGGCTCTGGTCTCGGACAAGTGTGTTCAACTGTTCAAGGTGTGCTCGTGTATCCGATTCGCAAATTCGAGTCGCAGTCTCAGAGAGTCGCTGTTGCCAAACTCATCAAACTCTGAGTTCTGAGTCACACTACGTAGGTCCGCTGGAAAATTCGGATAACCAAAGTGTGCCAGGGACACTGAGAAACCGCCGAGGCACGGAAAGGATGACTACGCATACTGCCTGGCGATGAGCAAATAGGAAGGCTGTTGTTGAGCAAACATTCTTATGACTCCTAATCCCGATGCTGCACAGTACAGCTCCTCCCAACATCCTTGATCCCTGTAGATGCCTGGTGTGCTCGGCTCCGGGTTTGAGGGTTCAAAGAGCTATGCAGGGCCTGTGGTGGCAGCACAACATAGTCTGAGATCATGAGCTCAATGCCAATGAACACCAGAATGCAGCACCTGGGGGAGAGCAGACCCTCAGCGTCCCGGAAAGCTATCCGGCTGAACAACAGTAAAAGACGTGGCACAGGCCATACTTCAGCATCTCGAACATCGACACGAAATCTTGCACGACGAAGAACATGGCGCGCAATGCGAACATCCTCAGCTGCGCAGTTTCGCAGCGGTTGGAACCTGCAGATGCCACTGCTTGATATCCATAGGACTCTCCTTCCACTAGAACCGCCTGTTTTCAGCGTGCTACCATGACATTCACTTGCGCATGCCCGCGCTGCAGGGTACCTCTGGCCAAACAAGCATCAAACAACACGGGACATCGCTAGACCGACCCGAAGATCAGTCCTACAAGCCTCCCCTCTGTCCTTAGCTGGATATTCTAGGTCGTGCTCATGGCACTCATGCTCGATCAAACTTTCCAGGCGACGCCAAGATGGAGGAAGACACGGAGACCCAGTAGTCGGGGATCTGGGCTGCCTTTCTGGCGCGACGAATAAGGATTCTATGGGGTATACCATGGTGGGCACCTCCAGTCTCTCAACCCTCCTCGACCCATCTAAAAACTCAATCAACCATAAACCTCGCACAAGCCCCTTGCGCCAGTTTGGGGCCACTCTGCCGGACACGGACGTCGAAACTTGTTGAACCTAGCTTTCAAAGCACCAAGGAGCCTTGGCACTGACACTGTCCTGGGTTCCACACTCAGGTACATGAAATGCCATGAATGCATGATGCATTCACACGAGCCTAGCTGTTAGGCTTGCAGACAGAACTGCTGGAACCATGGAAAGATTGTTCTATCAGGAGTCGATTACCTGCAACGGTGCTGCCTAGGATCAAGCGCAAACACCACATCGGTGATTTCCAGGCCTGGATTACCCCGCAGGGCAGATCTTGCTTCAAAGCACAAGACGAGGTTTCGAACTGCTGCGGTGTCAGAGGTAAGAAACCAAGATTCACACTCGCTGAAACACGTGTCAAGTAACAGCACACCACAGGCAGCATCAACGTGAAGAACATCTTGCCGTCAATCCACATCACCAGGCTGCCTGCATCCTCTCACGAACGCGCCCGCTCTATTGGACAGAGATGGACAGAGCCCAATGTGACACAACTGGCACTTGCAGCAACTCGGAAAAGTGCCGCGCCCCTTAATAGTGCGCCTTTCCATAGTTGTCCAAGAGCTGATTCCCCAGTAGCCAGCGGAGGGCTTGCACTGAAGTGGTGTCCACAGCTTCGCTCTCCTTTAGAAAGGGAATTACGGAGGTAATTTGTTGGGCAAGGGAAACTCACAAGCATGAGTATGACCAGAACTTGACTTCTTCATGTATTTACCGTACTCAGTACCTAGTACGAAAGCCATGTACGGCAGCCGATGGGCTGCTCAAAGCATGCTTAGAGCCACTCTGAGCATGCCACCATTGGATGTTCAATTGCAGGCTGCACCACAGCCCTCTCCATCGGACATGTCTAGGGCAGTCTGGGCCTCCTCCTCCTGCGCAGCTTGGATACCGCTCCTGAGTTGCGTTCGATGATGTGCTTTCATGTGCTTTCCTTTAGGGCACTGGACGTGTGCATCACACTGGCTGGACCAAGCTGGACCAAGCTTCCAGACCAGGAAGAAGCCGAAAGCGATGCGAAGCCAGCTGACAAAGTCCAGAAGCTGCCTGCATAGGAATGGTTGGAATGGTCAGTTCAGAGTTAAGTCATGGGGCGTTATAGCAAAGCATCGGTCAATCTTCGCTGTCTTCCCACCCTGTGTGTTGGAGCCACTATAGCCTGTTCGTGCTGCACGCAGCAGAACCGGTTCGAATCGGCCTCACGACGGCAAAGAAGGCGAGTCGGCAAACCACAGCGCCGATGATACCGAGGAAGAGGGCCTCTTGGCACATTTTTGAGCCATTTCTTCGAATTCATGCTTGTGCTCTCATTCATATGGTGGGGCCTCTTAAAGCTTTTTAGCCCAAGCTCCGGCCTTGTGCACCACCTGGGACGGTGTCTTGTAGAGCTGGAAAATCAAATGAAATACAAAGAGGTTGTCCAGGGACAGGAGCCATTCCTCGCATTCAGCTTTCATTGACGGGGCTTGGCCCTGACCCACGACTGCGCTCTCTCACTCTCCCTTCCTCTGGGTCTTCCTCTTCTTCCTCTTCTTCTTTTTCTTCTTATTGTTATTCTTCTTGTTCTTCTGCTTCTTCTTCTTCCACCCTCCATTGCCTCTCCCGCTCCCCTCTTGCGTCTCGCCTCTCGCATCTCTCCTCTGTCTGCTCTCTCTCCTCTCTGTTCTCTCTCTTGGCTATTTTGCTCTTTCCTTCTTTCTTTCACGGGTGCTCGCTTCTGTCCCGTCCTTTCTTTCCTTCAGGGGGTGTTGAGCCCCCGGCACTCTTGGCGCGCCCCGGTGTTCGAAGCGAGAACTACAGACCGGATCGGACGGGGGTGGTATCCCGACATCAGCGCCAGTCTGGCATAAACGAAAAGACGTGGAAAAGACGTGCTTGAGGCAACTAACGACAACCCCCAACCCCAACCTAACGACACCTGAAGTCCTGCAAGCCTCCTGCGTAAGCAGCTTCCGAGCTGCAGGGAAGGACGACCCTCAACGGCCCCCAACACATCACCCCTGCAAACCCAACAAACCACCCTGTTATCCTCTCCCTCTAAACCCTGTATAAGCAAGCCATGAAGGAACCACAGTTTGGGACGGAACCCGCCCCTGGTAGCCAGACCCCACCATAATTCAGATCTTTCTTCTCACTATTCTTCTTCCGGGCTTAAGGGCCGGTCTCTCGCTCTCTCTTTCTCCTGCTCTTGCCCTTGCTCTTGCTCTTTCGCTTTCTCCTTCTCTGCCCTATCGATCTATCGATCTATCCATCTATCTTCGTATTCTTCTTTCTTCACAGCGCGCTCGCTCTTCTTCTTATTTTTCCTTCTTCCTATTATTCTTATTCGGCTTCTTCTTCTTCTGCTTCTTCTTCTTGTTCTTCTGCACTGCGGAGAGGACTTTCAGGAGAGGGTGTTCCTCGTCCATGGTGGCCCGCTGTCCTGTCGGGTGTCGTTCTGTCGTTTCCGTTTTTTTTCTGTAGTTCTCTTTCTTGTGTCTTTCTTTGTTTTTTTTTCGTTCTTTCTCTTTATTTATCTTTATTTCTCTTTATTCCTCTTTTTGCTTTTTTTCTGTCTTTATTATCTCTTTCTATCTTTCGTTCTTTCTTTCTCTAGTTTTTTTCTTTCGTTCTTTTTTGTTTATTTGGTTGTTTCTTTCTTTCTTTCATAAGTTGTTTAATTCTTTCTCTTTTTTGTTCGTTTATTTCGTTCTTTCTTTCTGTTTGTTCGTTCTTTATTTCTGTTCTTTCTGTCTTTCTTTCTTTCTCTCTTTCTTTTCCTTCTTCCTTTCCTTCCTTGAACGCTTTCTTTACTTCCATCCTGCCCTCCCTTTCTTTACTTCCTTCCTTCCCTCCCTTTCTTTACTTCTTTCCTTCCTTCCCTCTCTTCTTCTTCTTCTACGGGGCATGAGGAGTAATTAGGGAAGTTACCCTACCCCCCGCGCACTGGGCACGCCCAGATACGCGGATCCGTCTGGTGAGGTCGGCGTGAAACTGAAAAGATTCGGGGAAAACCATTCTGCTACCACACCATACCAAACAGTGGACCATCAGGCCAGTCCTTATATAGAAGTCCTTCGCAATTAGCCCTGAGTACCCGTCTTGGTGCTTTCCCCGAATATGGGTCGGCCAGGAATAACATGCATGCTTAGCTTGAGTCACATACATGGGCCCGCCCCGAATTAACCCGGCTCGCCCTGCGCTGCCCTTTCCCAAAGATTGCTGGGGTTGCGGCACTACGAACTCTAAACACTGTGCCGGCATTTCACGGCTGGAATGCCAGCCTTTCTCTCTTCTCTCTCTCTCTCTCTCTCTCTCTCTCTCTCTCTCTCTCTCTTCTCCTCCTCCTCCTCCTCCTCTTCTTCTTCTTCTTCTTCTTCTTCTGCTGGGCTTGAGGGCCCGAGGGCCTCCGCGCGCGAGCGCGCCCGAAGTCCGGTCTCAAGTGAAACCCCCGAACAGACTTGGAAATGCGGTGGTTCCCCCAGTGGTACAACGGCACAAAACTATAAAACGATGCCCTCTCTCTGCTCTCTCTCTCTCTCTCTCTTCTGTCTCTCTCTCTCTCTCTCACTCTGCCTCTTTCCCTCTCTGGTTCAAGAAAGCGGCCAGTATGTAGCCACTGCACCATTCTACGCCTGCACATTGCATGCGTTGTGCTGCGTTGTGCTCTTTTGTGGCTGAGAAGCCTTGGGGAGTGGAATAAGTCTCGCATCAGGGTCCGGCGCTGGCCCGGGCACCTGCAACAGCTCCATGCCGAAGGAAGATAAAGACGTTGAAGCCTGCGTCATGGTGAAGGGTACGCTTCTTGCAGCCACGAAATACACGTCCACATGACACCGTCAGCCGAATCCGCCCTCCGGCCTAGGCCGATGCCCACCCAGAAGACCACTAAGCAAAGATGTGCACGGATGCCCTTCAACGCCAACTGCTGGATGACAAAGGCATCAAGCAGCCTCAGGAAAACAGGAAAACATTTTCATTGCTGCTTTAGTATGTCTGGTTGGAGTATGCTGCTTGGTCGGCTTCAAATTGGGGTTGTTCCTTCGCGTCACCGATGATGTGACACTTTGGCAGCGCACTTCCCCGTTCGCTGTAGGTTGAGACTTCTCTTTCACACTGCCCGAATATCCAGGTAAGGCTTGTCCGCCCTAGCTTCCCTGAAACGCGCTCGTGCCCCTTGCAGCTACAACCACCATCCTCACCTCCAAGCTAAATAACCCAAGGCCGGAGACCTTTTGCTTTGTTTGCTGAGCGCCTGGCACTAGAACAACACAGAGTCCAGCCAAGACCGCCTGAAGCGGACGGAGCAAGGCTCTGAATAGAATCGATCTTAGCTAACATCCGGTAGACGAGATCTGAGCCAAGGTGTTCCGACCCTATCGCCTCATCGTCTGGCTTGGGATTCGGATAGAGGATTTGCGGACTTTGAGGAGATTTCCAAAGACTCTATTGTTCTTGCTATAGACTACTAAATGACATGATATGCCCACTGGTAAAGTATAAATATACCGGATTGTATGTGATGATGAGCATATATAAATATATACACATATGTACCTACACATAAAAACATGTACATATACATATGTACATGTAAACATATATACATCTATACATATTTACATATATGCATATATACATATATACATATATACATATATACATATATACATATATACATATATACATATATACATATATACATATATACATATGTACATATGTACATGTACATACATATGTACATATATACATACATATACATAACATACATACATATACATACATACATACATATACATACATACATACATATATACATATATATATATACAGATATATATATACATATATACATATATACATATATATACATACATATACATACATACATATACATACATACATTACATACATACATACATACATACATACATACATACATACATACATACATACATACATACATACATACATACATACATACACATATACATATATACATATATACATATATACATAAATACATATATACAGATATATATATATATATGCATATATCTATATACACATATTGTGAAGTCGACCAGCACTGGACTTGCACTAAGCCAATGCAATCACAGCCCGGTCACGCTGTTTTACGACTTCGCGAGTTCAAGCACTTGTGCAGCTACGCCTGAGTGCGTCCGGTCGGACCGCACAGCAACCTAGGAGCTACTGTACGACGCTACCGTGCTCAAAGGCACAAGCTCGGTACTTGAGCCAAAATTGGCATTGAAACGAATTGCAAACCTACACATGCAAAGAAGACTACAGTACTGGTCCTGGCAGCTCTGCACATGCAACGTGCGTGCTTAGACCTGCTCACATTCGCCCCTCAGCCGAGGCTTCCAGCTCATCTCGAGCTCGGAGTGCAGCAGGCACTCGCGCTGAACACAGAAAGGGAAGGGAGAGGGTGTCGCTTGCGACCGCGGTGGTCCGCACATCATGAGCATTGGCATGCGGCAGGGACGCTAGCCCGCACCACCACAACGAACGCACGACGACGGCAACCCTCAGCAACCCTTAACCACCCTTTCCCAGGAGGTCCTCACCCTTTCGCTGGTGGGCGAGGCTCTTGAATCCTCGAGCTGGTCTCTAGCTGCCAGTACGCAGACTATGGTACAAATGGTACACTGTACACTACCGGTCCTAAGCTACGGCTACGGCTACTCACCTATCCGGAACTACCCTACGGGCTACCAGACTCAGTGAGAGCCGCGCACATGGCTCGTGCCGCGGGCAATGCAACTCACACGCGCTTCGGCGAGCGCATTGCCGCGACCAGGACACGGTCCGCAGCACCTGCAAAAGAGCACCCTCGGCACGAGGGGCCACAGGCAGGGCGAAGGAGAAAGGTGCGGGGAAGCAAAATGGGCAGGTTTCCAACCTGCCGCGGCTTTTCGCCCGCAGTCAAGCAAAAGAAAGTGCAAAAGGTTGGCGAAGCAACGTGCCGTGCTGCAACGCCTGCTCTGATAATGCGTGGATGCATACCACGCCGCGCCAACTGGCCGCAGCCTACTCGATACCCTGTGGAGCAGTGTTAGGGGCACGAGTGGCGTTGCCAGCAACGTTGGAGCTACTGGCTCGCTCCAACTGAGGGCGCTTTGCAACCGCCTCATCGAGGGAGAATGCCTCAGCCGACACCCTCTGGAATTCCTCGATGTAGGACTGTGCGACTGGGTGCGTCTTGGGGACCTCAAGCTTAAGCCCAGCCTCCGCATTGGCTTTGCTGCTTGTGGTAAAATTGAGGCTCCCAATCAGCACCACCGCGCCATCAGGCCGCAGTAGGCATAGGGCCTTGGCATGGTGCAGCCCTTGAATCCCGGTGCCTACCTTAGCCCCGCGGCCGTCGCGAGCATAGGCGTCGCGCACGGATGTGCCACAACCCACCTTCACTTCGGCACCTGCAGCCGCCAAGCGTTTCAACGCTTGCCACTGAAGTTTGGTGCGGTGGCATTGCCCCATGTCGGCGACAATCCGAACGCTTGCGCCCTTGCTAAGCGACGCTTCGATTGCCTCGATGCAGGATGGGCAATCTAAGCTGCACGCACGGATGTAGATCACATCCTCTGCTGCTCCAGACCCAAGCAGCGTTTGGGCGGCCTGAACGTATGGCCCGCCCGCAAGGAATTCCGCTTCTTTGACTGGAGAACTCCTAGCGGGGGCTGGGCCCTTGTTCCTCCGGCCTGGTGTGCGCGCCACAGTGGCAGTGGCGGCACGTTGCACGGAGCCGGACTGTGCGTGGGCTGCGCTCGCTCCATCTGCTGGGGCCGCGGCCAGGTCACGACCCGCGAGCCCCTGAAAGCAGGAGAGCCCGCGGCTCTTGGCCGCAAGTTGGGAGAAACATCCTTCACTGTTCCCCAAACCCAACACAACCTTACCCTTAGCCAGGGCTTCGGAGGCGGTACTCCGAATGGAGTCTGTGAGCGCAGGACCCGCGCCTCGCTGGGCCGCGTGCAAAAACCCTAGGGAACGAGCGGTGTCCATTGCGGCATCGCAATGCCCGCAACGTCCTTCTGCCAGGTAAGCACGACAGCCACAGGCAGCTGTCTCCTCCTTGAGGTGCACCCAAACCTTATGGGTCACCCCTTTCTTGGAGCTCGCGACCTCAAACGTCGCTTCGGAGCCAAGGAGCTGAGACAGCCGCGCCTCAGGGGCCGCGGTGTTGCCATGTCGCATATGCGCAATGCGATTGGCAACGGCACGACTCACGTACCACAGAACAGCGCCGCACAAAATCACTACTACCAGAGTGATGGCTGTTCCGGCGACCCACACGGTCCGCCTGGCCCCATGACCGATTTCCTCGACTACGTCGGCCGAAACCGTTGCAACCGCGTGCATGGAGTCCTCGACAACATGCACAACCCCGCGGTGCAACTGCAAGGCAATCGGCGCCGACGCTGCAGCCGCCAGGCCCCACCAACCGTTGATGTTCCCGTTGAGGGCGTGCATCAACCGATTGAGGAGCCCGCGACCCAAGAAAAAGGGGGTCCGCGGCGGAAGCGGAACACTTGGCGGCGGCCGGGCCGACCCGCACGGGAAGGCTGGGACCCAGCTTGTGCTTGGGCGGGGTTGGAGCGCGGCAACAATGCCCGCGGCGAAAGCGCCCCAGGCGTACTTGCCCCTCCCCTTGGGCTTGCCCTTGGCATCGGACTTGCCTCTGCCCTTCGGCTTGCCCTGGCCCTTGCCACGGGCGTCTGCCCAAGCACTCCAAGGGTCGCGGCCCTTGCCGTACGTCGCCTCTTCGCGACCTCTCTTGCCGCCCCTCTTCTTGTGTTTATTTCTAAGAAGAGGTTGGATGGTTTCTTGGTCCATCGCGCGATTGGCCAGAAGGATCTCGTACTCCAGCTCGTCCTGGCTGCTTTCGGAGCCCGAGTCCCTCTCTTCGCCGCGCCGCGGATCAGGGATCCCGCGGGAAACGACCTCTGCCAAGCGGAGAGGCGTGCTGCACCGAAAGCACAGCTGCCTGAATGAAAGGTTCCATTCATAGCAGTTAGGGCGCTGCCACCCTGCTATGCGGAGCGCCTCGCTGATGTGATCATCGCGCTCTGCCTTCTCCGCCTGGCGCCGCTCCCGCTTCTTGGCGCGCTCGGCCGCCCGCGCCTCCTCGGCCGCCTGGAGGGCTTCAGCGAGTTCCTCATCGCTGAGAAGCCTCGCGGCATCTGCCCGCGCTTGCTGTTCTTCAAGCTCTTCGGCAGAAAACCTCCGCCGCCATTGCTCCGGCGCGGTTTGAGGATCTACCTCCCACCACCCGATGTCGATCCCGTTGATCCATCGGCCGTCGCACGGGGCGCCCGCGTTCGGGCCGCCCGCGTGCGTGGTGAGGCACTGGTCCTCGGTGACCGGGTTAATGGCTTCGCAGAAGAAGCACCGCCAGCTGCCGTAGGGGTAAAAGCGGCCTTCGACGTAGGCTCGGTTGGCTGGGAGGGCGACATCGTCCGCCTCATCCGCGGTGCCCTCCTCCATCTCAACCGATACCTCCTCGTCTTTGACAACCTCAGCTTCCTCCTCCTGTTCCTCCTTGACCAGGGGCTCTTTCTCCTCCCGGCCAACTTTGAGGTGGGACTCAGTGCGAACCTCGGCGCGCATCAGAATGACGTCAAGGCTGTCCGCGGCTGGGTTGCCCGCGAAGAAGGAATCGATCTCCTGGGCATGGAGATCGTCAAGAGGCGTCACCAGGTCTGGCGAATAATCCCGTTTGGAACGACGCTCTGCAAGGCGTTGCTGAACGTCGCCCTTCGGCGGCTCGAGGGCCCGCCCGCGCGGAGCGGCTTCCCGCGGAGGTCTCGGCTCGGCCTCCTCTTTGGGCTCGCTCTTGGGCGTGGACCCTCCACTGCTGCTCTCTGGAGCGGGATCCAGCTCCGGGTCATCGCGAAGCCACCCCGGCGGATGACTACCACCATAAATG